GACTCACTCACTGACTCACTCACTCACTGACTCACTCACTCACTCACTCACCCACTCACTCACTCACTGACTGACTCACTGACTCACTGACTCACTGACTCACTCACTCACTGACTCACTGACTCACTGACTCACTGAATCACTCACTCACTCACTCACTCACTGACTCACTGACCCACTGACTCACTCACTCACTGACTCACTGACTCACTGACTCACTGACTCACTCACTCACTCACTCACTCACTCACTCACTCTCTCACTCTCTCACTGTCTCTCACACACCCTCTCCCTCTCGCTCTCGCTCTCGCTCTCGCTCTCGCTCTCGCTCTCGCCCTCGCTCTCGCTCTCGCTCTCGCCCTGGCTCTCGCTCTCGCTCTCTCTCTGTCTCTCTCCTTCTCTCTCCTCTCTCCTTCTCTCTCCTTCTCTCTCCTTCTCTCTCCTTCTCTCTCCCTCCCCTCTTCCTCCTTTCTCCATCTCTGCTTTTTCAATGTTGGGATGGCAACATTCAAAACTGCGCATCATTTTTTTGGACCATGTCTGCTGTAAGTCGCCCTGAGGAGCGGGCCAAAAACAGAGATAAGAAACCTCCAGAAGCCGCGCCAAAGCTGCCAAAGCCGAAAGAGACTGATGTCACAAAGAAGACAGCACCAAAGGAGCAACCAGCTGCTGACGAACCGGACAAGGTACGCTTCATGGCATGATACTAACTAAATGATACTACAACTAGGAATATGGAGAGATGTTTTGCGTTGATTTTCAAGTTCAATTCTTTGGTTCAGTTGCTCTTTAGACTTGCTAGCTAGTCCTTTGAAAGGGTCCCACATGTCCCTACATGTGGGTGGCTGTATTGTCACGGAGTTTTTTCTGGTCTTTGTTCGAAGCACCACCTTTCAAATCCTCAGGTTGACGGAACGAAATTTTATTGGTTTCTTTGGACTTCCTTCTTGGTTTTATGCTGGGGGCAAAATGCTGATCTATGAAGTCACAGATAGTCCTTGCGAGAGACAGTCGAATCTTTGGAAATCAAAGAACACTTCAATTATTTTCTTCTGAAACGTCGCAGCTCTTGCTCACAGGATCTCACAAGTATGTAAAGGGTTTGGGCCAGCCAGGTGTCTGAAAAACCCAAAGCTGAGGCCCAGGCAAGGGAGTTGATTGCAAGCATGCAATAGATACAACTGACATTGACAAAGATCCGCAGCATTCTCTTGGCTGCTAAGCTTGACAAGTTTTAGCACTCCAGTCGGGAAGAATATCCCAGTTGTTACGATTCTTTTTGTCTTCCGGATAGAGGATCACACGCAGCGCCTCCTGACTAGACATCATATGATGCGGACATCAGCTGGGAGGGGTACTCTCTTCAAGTCAGAAGCCTTCGATCACTGGTATCGAACAATTTGCATTTCCGAGCACAGATTTGTTGCGGAGAGGGACAGCTTGACCTAGCTTGTAGGTGGATGAATGCTTAACTGCTAGGAGGCATCTGAAAAGCCCAGAGCAGACGGGGCTGAGGCGAGGCAGATGACCAAAAGAAGAGCAAGTTAAAAGCCCAAGAAACACAGCATCAAATTATATAGCCCAAGGTACCTGTGCGGAGAGAGACTTGCAAGGCCTTCTCTCGTAAACGATTTACTAAGTTCTTGCGCTGCAACACGACTGCCTTTGGACACTTTGAACAAAAATTGAACGGTTCTTGCTTCAAGTGCCTAGACTGGGAGAATCAGGGTTAGATTACAGGGATCTCGTCTCATCAGCCATCAGCCCTCTGATTCACTTCTGCCTGGTCCGTCACCCTGTCATGTGTGCATCTCTGGCTGCAGCTCTGCGACTTGGAGTTATGTCAATACACGCTCAAAAGCGAGTGCTTTCGTTTCTTCCTTGCTCAGATAATATAACTTAACAAGGTGTTGTATCATCCTCAGATAGCCTCAGCGCTAGACAATTAATCAAGGGTCCCCTACTGAGTCCAGAAGTAAATTTCTGGAATCAATTTCACCAAAGTTAACATTTGCTGCTGGGGGGGAGCATTTGAGAAGGTCAAAAATTCATTGACATGAGAAGTTGTAATTTTGTGATATTCGGATAAGTTGAGATTTGATGAGATGTGCTTGAACAACATTTAAACAAAACAGAGAGTCATCCAGACCTGACACACCTAGCAATTAATTCAAGTGCGCTGCAGAGTTCTAATTCAAAGGAGCGCAATGAATAAATGGATGGGATACAGTCCTTGAAGGGGCGAGGGCGTGAAGAAAGATAAAACTGTGTGCGTGCACTTTCATATTTGGGGGATGGGTCAGTTGTCAAAGTGTCCTTGATTTGTGGCTGTCTTTTGGTGTTGCACATTTCAAGCATGGATCAATAAGAAACAATCATTACATAATTTAAGGTACCCCAATTAATTATCCGGTTCGACCCCCTCGTGAGGATTGATTTTGCACACCCACTTTTCTTATATACAACTTTCTTTTCAAAATCTGCACCCGTTACAAGGGGTCAATTAATCGCCCCCCCCTATTTTGAAATTAAGTAATTGAGCAGGGCCCTCAGGAAAGGCCCAGCTGAGGTAGGGGCTATATATATATATATCCTTAGGCATTGCGTTTAATGGCTGCCGCAGTCTGCAGCCCAAACCTCTGCCTGGAAAATGCTCATCAAAGACAGACTGAAATATCTTTGTCAAACAAACCGAAGAGGTGCTTGAGTCAGTGAGGAACAAATGTTCTGCATAGCAAACTGGTGGACCAATGCTGACACTATGGGCCTTGCAGTCCCCTCTCTGACATAGAGAAATGGCTTAGTCTTGAGTTGTTGTTCCTGTGGGATTGCATCCTTCTGCCAGTGCTTTGCGTCGATGATAGGGAAGGCCAACTCCACTGCCGTTGAAGTCCCAAATGGCAACAGAGTTGCTTGATGTCCCGAACAGGTTGATAGGTGAGGCGAGGGCAACTTGGGTACCAAGCTAATGACGGTGACCTGGTGTAGAGTGTGCCTGTGCTTAGGATTGGAACTTCATTTTGTTTTTGCTTCGTAATACATGGATTTTTTCGGTGCCAGGAAGCATCTGAAAAGCCCGATGAGGCAAGACGGTTGGTGTTGTTCACAGCCAAAAGAAGAGCAAACTGAAAGCAAGCGAAATTGCGGCGCGAAATTGCCGTGGAACTCTTTCACTCTCCGTGCTATTGCTGCTGACTGGAAGCATGGCAATCTTGGTGCGGTTTCCTCTATTGACCACATGATTATGGATGGGGTGGTTGAGGTCGTCAAGTTTAGCTTTTCACATGCAGACCTTCAAGATATGCGGAAGTCAAATTCACCATTTCCTTACTGTTTTTGCAGATGTCTGCAGTTTGACATTAACTCTACCTGCCACCAGGAGGCACCTGAAAAACCTAAAGATCAGGCAAGGCAGTGTTTCGTCAAATGAGCATGCAAATCAGCAATCAGCAGCGGAATCCACGGCTATCAATTTCATACTGTATTGTGCGCTAAAATTTTACACCAAGTCAATGGCTATAGTGTTGAGTTTCGAACCTGTTGACCCTTTAAAGGCATGCTATACACTAAAGGACAGAAACTTCAATTTCAATGTCGATCATTTAGAATGCCTTAAAATAGTGCATTCAGCAGGTTCACCGTTTCGTTTGGTTACCCTTGAAATCTGAAGTATATATATATATATATTATATATGTTTTGACCTTCGCTCTTTGTTTCTGACCGACAGGAGGCATCCGGCGAGCCGAGAGACGAGGCAAGGCCATGGAATTCGTTGCAAAAGGATACCAAACTATTGCCAAGGGGGCCAGAGTTGTCTGTGCTAATTGGTGTGCCAAGAAAGATGCTTCTTGGCTGCTTCCCCGGTCCTCTTTTTAAAAGAGGTGAATGACTTTGCAAGAGGAATTTATTGTAGAGCTACTTCTCGATGCCGTGCCTTGAGGCTTCCCACAGCCCAAAGGCCCCAGAGGCGGCCAAAGGCGCCCCAGAGGCGAGGTCCGCTGCGGTGTCAGACGCAGTCCACAAACAAATGCATCGCTACTAGTATTTTCTTGTTAGTAGCGATGCACTTGTTCTTGTGCAGCTTTATGGTCCCCAAATCTGGCCGGGCCGTACTATGAGGGCCCTCCACACAGAAGCCTTTCTTCATCTTTTTCGCAAGGCTTTACAGCCTTGTTTTTGGTGCCGCAGAATCACTTACTTGGTACAGGTGCGAGGGCGGAGTCAACAACGCCTCCGCACTTTGTCAAAAACACGGCCTTCGATGAGCCGGGCCACTCCTGTAAATAGCACACAAAGCGGGCCACACAGGGGCCATAACCACCAAGAAGTGGGGCCACCACTGCAAGAACCACAACGTTCAGTCCAGACGCACGCAGACCCATATCTGTAGATACCACAGCTGTCACAAGCTTGTCCATCCCAGTAAAATCCTGTGACGTGGGCGCCATGTTGGAGACCAGGCGGCTTTCCCGGAAAGCACGTTGCCATGCGCAACCGCAAAGCCATTGGTCATTTGGCTTCGTTGTGGTGGGATTCGGTGAATATATTGTTCTGCATCATTGTTTTGCAGCCGTGAAGACCATTCAGTGCCTGCGTGCTTTGTTGGAGTACCTTTGTGGTATCAATCTGAATGGGCATGAATGGTGGGTTCCGTTTGGTTGTACTGGGTGAAGGGCCTTGGATTGCAAAGCGTGTGGTTCAGATTATAATATACAACATACAGCTTGTTTCGCCTAACAAGGTTGAACACACTTGCGAACTTTCCGCAAATGCACGAATCGCAGTAGGTCATAGACTGATCACCTGACCACAGCCAGCTTCCCGGTGGCCTGGTGGCATGGAAGCTGGAGGAATGCTCAAAAGTTTGTTAAGGAAATTTACTTGAGGTACTTCAGGGTAGGGATAAATGCTGCGTTGGTTGCGAAGGGATCCTGCAGGGTCGGCGCTTGAAGGCACACGTTGCTGCGGTGACAGGGCATAAATGGCGGATGCAGATGCACGGGAACAATTCGTGAACTTGCCTTCGTATCACTAGCAAGAAGTGCTGGAGTGCGAACTGCTTAGTACTCCAGAAACTTCTTAAAACTTTTTACCTTGCTGAGAAAAACTTCAAACAGAACTACTTGTGATACGGAGCCCTACACACAGTAGACCCCCATTGGACCACTACCTTCTGCCCAACGGTTTTTCAAGCTCGCAACGCGGTGCCAATTCCAGCATTCATAAATCCAAACCACCTTACACATCCACAGCAGGTCACGGTGAAAACCGCTGCCGCGGTGTTCGGGGCCCAAGTCCTTTGACTGCGTCAGGGTTTTGGCACTTGGTATCTTATAAAGAAGCCAGCTTTTTCAGTGTGACAGAGTGCAAAACTCACTTTTGCATGTATTTACCAAGACGCAACGACGTTCAACATTGGGTCCCAAAGGAGCAACTTCATCTTTAAGTTATCAGAGTTGTGATGAATTAGCGCTTTGTAGGGTTCGTTTGTTTTTTCGTTTCAGGGGTGAAGAAACCTTTCTGTAGTTCACTCAAGCTGCAATCTCGCTATATTCAGTAGTTCTATGAATCAGCACTTCCAGAGCTTGAGTAGCACCACAAAGTGCAGCGTTTCTCGTTGAAAGGGTGCTATTACTTGTGCTTCCAGAGTCTGCAGCCGAAACATCCTGTTGTGAAGTAAACGTGGTAAAGTAAGCCTTCGGTCTTGGATTTCTTGCATATATTGCTGTAGTCAGGAGTCAGCCACAGACATTGCCATATTCTTATTTGCTGGTTTGTAGCACTTGGTAAGTACATGATAAATATATACATGATTGAAATGAATCCACAGTTTTCCAACCTTGGGTACTGAAAACCTTAACATGCAAGTGATCTCAAGTATTTGCGGTGAGCCTACTTACTTCGGACGAATCCATTCTCACAGCACAAAGTTTGCCCAAATCACCAACACAGCGCGTATTTCTGCACCTTGTCACTGTCGCTTGGGCAGGATAGAAATAACTCCCAGAACTTCCACTTACTTTCGGCAGATGTCACTAGAGCTTGCAAGGCGATCAGGTTTCAGAACCAGAAAGCCGAGAGCTGCCCCTCATCCATCACTTTTCACCATCCAAGCAATGCTTTTTTGGTTTCTGCGCCTTCTGGTGGCCAGGTCGGAGCAGAGGGAAGAGAAGCAGCGCTTTGGTCCAAACTTGCTGCTTGTGCGTGAGGGCTTTGTATTTGTCCGAGTAATCATGTAATGGGCCAAGATTCTGACACCATATGGATTTTTCTTGATTATCTTCAGGCAGCTCTTGGTTGCGCTCATGCTGAAGTTCGTCCCAATTTGATTGAAGTGGGACATTCAACATTATTTTTTGCGTGGAAACATAGAGGCTCCTTGAAGGGCAGGGTGTGCTTCCATACTGTAATCTACTGTATATGTATATATATATATATAAAGGCTTTATAGGTTGGAATTTGCAGTGATTGCTGTGATACATCGGCCTCGCGATTCATCTTGATTTCACCATACAATCATCACCATTACCCGTGCAATCATTATATACCCATAAAAGTCATTCACTTTCAGCAAGAGAAAGGGGTATTTTTTCAGAACAGGGGACTGGGGTAGTCCTCATTTGGCGCATTTTTTACCTGTACATTCATATTGTTCTGCTATCTTGTACTACTATACTATCTCATTTTTGTCTCAATGTTAGTAATGGCTGAGACCCAAACAAGCAAAAAAGCAAAAACGAAACTATCGACACAATAGCCTTTGCTGCGCATACATTCATTGATTTGTTTTTTTCATTTCCTTTAACGTTCTTTTTGTTTTGGTAAGAAGGCTTCAGCATGGCTATTTCCTTTGCATTTGCTGTTTGTGGGACATAGTCACCAAAACAAAAAAACAAGTCCATGTCTCAGGATTTGTCCTCACTCTTTGACGCTTTTTTGCTTTTTGTTTGCTCGTCTTGCTAAAGAAGGCTATAGTGATACTCAACGGTTCATTATATTACTGCAGTAGTGGCTTGACATTGAATAGTAATACAAGAGACATATCTACAAATTTGACAGCGCAAAAGGGTTAATAATAAAATGACACACACACACATCAGATAACTGCATTACAGAACTTGTTGTAGGGTGAATTAAAAGGATGAAACAAGATGGAACCCACGAACCCGAATGCAAACACGTTCGACAAGCTACATATGTCCAAATGACACTCTTGTAGGACACTCTTGTGGGACACTCTTGTGGGTCACTCTTGTAGGAAACTCTTGTGGGACACTCTTACGGGAGACACTCTTGTGGGACACTCTTGTGGGACACTCTTCTGGGACACTCTTGTGGGACACTCTTGTGGGACACTGTTGTGGGACACTCTTGAGGGACACTCTTGTGGGACACTCATACGGGACACTCTTGTAGGACACTCTTGTGGGACACTCTTGTAGGACACACTTGTGGGACACTCTTGTGGGACACTCTTGTGGGACACTCTTACGGGACACTCTTGTAGCACACTCTTGTAGGACACTCTTGTGGGACACACTTGTGAGACACTCTTGTGGGACACTCTTGTGGGACACTCATACGGGACACTGTGGAACACTCTTACGGGACACTCTTGTAGCACACTCTTGTAGGACACTCTTGTGGGACACACTTGTGAGACACTCTTGTGGGACACTCTTGTGGGACACTCATACGGGACACTCTTGTGGGACACTCTTGTAGGACACTCTTGTGGGACACTCTTGTGGGACACTCTTGCAAGACACTCTTGTAGGAAACTCTTGTCGGATACTCTTGTAGGACACTCTTGTGGGACACTCTTAAGGGACACTCTTGTGAGACACTCTTGTGGGACACTGTTGCGGGACACTCTTGTGGGACACTCTTGTGGGACACTCATACGGGAAACTCTTGTGGGACACTCTTGTAGGACACTCTTGTGAGACACTGTTGCGGGACACTCTTGTGGGACACTCTTGTGGGACACTCATGCGGGACACTCTTGTGGGACACTCTTGTGGGACACTCTTGTAGGACACTCTTGTGGGGCACTCTTGCGGGACACTCTTGTGGGACACTCTTGTAGGAAACTCTTGTGGGATACTCTTGTGGGACACTCTTGTGGGACACTCATACGGGACACTCTTGTGGGGCACTCTTGTAGTAGGACACTCTTGTGGCACACTCTTGTGGGACACTCTTGTGGGACACTCTTGTGGGACACTCTTATAGGACACTCTTGTGGGACACTCTTAAGGGACACTCTTGTGAGACACTCTTGTGGGACACGGTTGCGGGACACTCTTGTGGGACACTCTTGTGGGACACTCTTGTAGGACACTCTTGTGGGACACTCTTGTAGGACACTCTTGTGGGACACTCTTACGGGACACTCTTGTAGGACACTCTTGTGGGTCATTCTTATGGGACACTCTTGTCGGACACTCTTGTGGGACACACTTGTGAGACACTCTTGTGGGACACTCATACGGGACAACTCTTGTGGGACACTCTTGTAGGACACTCTTGCGGGACAATTTTGTGGGACACTCTTGCGGGACACTCTTGTAGGAAACTCTTGTGACATACTCTTGTACGACACTCTTGTGGGACACTCTTGTAGTGTCCTTGTGGGACACTCTTGTAGGACACTCTTGTGGGACACTCTTGTGATGTGGGACACTCTTGTAGGACACTCTTGTGGGACACTCTTATAGGACACTCTTGTGGGACACTCTTAAGGGACACTCTTGTGAGACACTCTTGTGGGACACTGTTGCGGGACACTCTTGTGGGACACTCTTGTGGGACACTCATACGGGACACTCTTGTGGGGCACTCTTGTAGGGCACACTTGTGGCACACTCTTGTGGGACACTCTTGTGGGACAGTCTTACGGGACACTCTTGTGGGACACTCTTGGGACCCTCTTCTGGGACACTCTTGTGGGACACTCTTGTGGGACACTCTAGTAGGAAACTCTTGTGGGGCACTCTTACGGCGCACTCTTATGGGACACTCTTGTAGGACACTCATACGGGACACTCTTGTAGGACAATCTTGTGGGACACTCTTGTAGGACACTTGTGGGACACTTTTACGGGACACTCTTGTCGCACACTTTTGTAGGACACACTTGTGGTCACTCTTATGGGACACACTTGTTGGACACTCTGTGAGACACTCTTGTAGGACACTCTTGTAGGACACTCTTGTCGGTCACTCTTACAGGACACTCTTGTAGGACACTCTCGTAGGACACTCTTGTGGGACACTGGGCACTCTTGTGGGACACTCTTGTGGGAAACTCTTGTGGGACACTCTAAAAGGACACTCTTGTGGGACACTCTTGTAGGCCACTCTTGTGGGACACTCTTGTGGGACACTCTTGTAGGAAACTCG